TTCACTCTTGTAGCCTAGACAGGAGTGCAATAGCACAATCTCAGTTCACTGCAACCTCCACCCCCAGGGTTCAAGTGATTCTCCTGCCTCAGCCTCCCAAGTAGCTGGGATTACAGGTGCCCGCCACCACAACTGGTTAATTTTTGTATTTTTAGTAGAGACAGGGTTTTGCCATGTTAGCCAGGCTGGTCTCGAACTCCTGACCTCCAGTGATGTGCCTGCCTTGGCCTCCCAAAGTGCTGGGATTACAGGTGTGAGCCACCGTCCCTGGCCCACTTCTGACTCTTGAAAGAGACAGGAAGGAAACACAAAACCAAGCACCCAAGATAGGTCAGGTGAAGAGCCAGGGTTAGATAACAAGGGCAGCATCCTTTGAGACTCAAGATTTGGTTGACTTCCTGGAGGCCCTGTGTGGAGGCAGAGGAGGGTGGGCTGGACGCACCTGCAGCGCCGAGTCACCAGCGCCTGGTGTTGCCAGCGGCTTTGTCTTATTTCTGCTGGCTGTGCAGAGTGACTGCCAGAGTTGTCTCTTGCAGGCTGAAGGAGATTGATGGATTCTTTGCGAGAAACAACGAAGAGTACCTGGCCCTGATCTTTGAAAAGGGAGGCTCCTACCTGGGTAGAGAGGTGAGCCACGCTGAAGTTCCCAGCAACTCCTGGATAGCCTTTGAGAGACAGCCCCAGTTTGGGAGCAGGGCTTTTCCTGCCAATCCTAGGTTTTGGTGGCCCGGGCCTTTTAGCCTGGCACTGGCCTGACCCCTGCTGGGAGTCATGGGAAGTGCAGGAGCTGGACCTCTGCATTAAAAAACCTTTCTGTTTATTCTTATCTCCTTCACTGAAACCAAATATTACACCTGCTGTTACTGAGCATTGGACCAGATTGCTGGCACACGTAGCTGCTAATCCCCCAAATTAACGAAGGTGGTGAAATAGCATACCCAAGATCACACAGCTAATTTGGTAGAAGAGGGCTTTGAACCAGGTCCATCTGACTCCAAAGCGAGTGTTGTTTCCACAATTTCCCACCCCATGGGACTGGAGTAAAATATTTGGGAGGGAGGGAACATTGAGGCACCCCAGCCCCACTGCAGGAAACGGGGTCCTTTTTCCCAGATGCCACTCCATCTCTTGCGTGGGGTGTCCGTGAGCCAGCTGCTCAGTGCTTCGGGCTGCAGCGCCCTGTCTAGACAGCAGGGATGATCATGTTTCTCCATAGTATTGTTGGGAAAGTCAAATGCAGCAGTTTAGGTAAAGGGCCTGGATGGCAGCTGACACATATTAGGTACTTTATAAAGATCCATTCCCCTGGCCTAACACAGAGAGCTCACCATCCTGCCATTGGCTCATGGACTTCTACATAGACCACGTGTGAGCTTTTCCCAGCTGCAAAGGCCGACCGCGCCAGTGCACGGGAGATGCTCCAGGGCAGTGCGGGGCGACAGGCATGAGAGTCGGCGTGAAATTAAACTGCACTGTTGGCCTGAGTGATTTTCCTGCTGAAAGTCATCAAGCACAGCTGAGAGTCTGAGCTGAAACTGGATGCTGTCTCCAGGCCTCTCAGCCCTGAGAGGGGAGGCACAGGTGTTGGGGAGGAGGCAGACAGCTTGGCTGAAGGAGTGCCGGACCCTCTGGGGTCCCAGTTCATGCCTGGGGTCATACCTGTCACATAGAGGTGATAAATGGTGATTGGAATGGGCTCTTCTCCCTCCCCTCCCCGCACAGTCCCCTGAGTAACTAGGAGCAGGGGTCCCAGTAGTTGCAGCCAAGTGCCCCCTGCCCATGTAGGGGTGCTCAGCGTGGGACAAGTGGCTAAAGGCCTGGGTTCTGGAGCCACACTAAGCTGGGATTTGTAGCACAGTTCAGCCACATGCAAGCTGTGTGACCTGGAGGCGTGGTTTCACTTCTAAGCCTCAGTTTCTCCAGCTATAAGATAGGAGCTTTATTTATTTTTATTTTTTTGAGATGGAGTTTTGCTCTTGTTGCCCAGGCTAGAGTGCAATGGCATGGTCTCGGCTCACTGCAACCTCTGCCCCGTGGGTTCAAGTGATTCCCCTGCCTCAGTCTCCCGAGTAACTGGGACTACATGTGTGCGCCACCGCGCTGGCTGATTTCGTATTTTCAGTAGAGATGGGGTGTCACCATTTTGGTCAGGCTGGTCTCAAACTCCTGACCTCAGGTGATCGGCTCACCTCAGCCTCCCAAAGTGCTGGGATTACAGGTGTGAGCCACTGCGCCTGACCAGGAGCTTTATTTTTAAATAAATACTTATGTACCTACTATGTGCTAGTCACTGTTACAGCATTTTAATAAAATTAACCCCTTCAGTTCTCAGAACACCCCCCCACAAAGTTGGTGGTATTATTATTATTGTTGTTATTATTTTGCAAGTGAAGAAATTGAATCGGGGAGCGGTTTAGTGTAGTGGGGCCAGGATGCCAATGCAGGCAGCCATAGCGTATGGCACTGCATCTCTTAGTCTCCTGAGAATAGCTGCTGTTTTGGTGTTACGCGGAAGATAAATGAGGCAATCTGTGTGGCCACTACATAACACCTACGCAATACATGTTAGCTAATGTTCTCTCCTACGTCTTCCTGAAAAACCGATGTCTGATAAGTCTGTTTTTCTGATTTGGAGTCTAGAGTGGAAGCTTTATAAATCTAAGACTAAAGGCTAGGGGGCGCCACCCGCTCCCTAGTGAGGAGGAATGAGGCGTCAGTCAGAGGCTGGTGCCTGCATTTGCAGTTGGCCTGTCTGATTATGCTGAGAACTTTTCTTCCCATTCCTGATGTGGGGACACTGTCATTCTAACAAGTCCTCCTGTTGCCTTCAGAGAGCCCCATGTTAAGAATCTATTTCAGATCTTCTTATAACTATACATGTTGACCAAAGGGCCGCCCTGACCACTGCACATAGCTAGGCTCAGAGTTAGCCTGCTGTTTAGAAGTTTACTCAGTTCCAAAGGTTTATTTTGTCTGTATCCTACCCATGAAATTTGTTACCATATGTATTTGAACACAAGAAAATCACAGTTCTTTAAATGTCTTCTGTGACTCGAGCTTCCGTAAGGAAGACAGCTCTTGCCCCCAACAATTGATATTTCAAACAAGCAATTATTAGGAATTTCTAAAGGGATATTTTCCCTTTAGAAAGTGTTAGGAGCAGGACCTGGGGAATCCTGGACATCAGAGAACAGTCAGATCTTGGGTTGTGATGGTCTTAAGGACAAGAACGTGCTGGCTCGGTGCAAAAAACAAACGAGTTAAAATGAAACCACGTTTTATTATGCCTTTGACAAATTGCTTTCATGAGAAAGAAAATGGCATCCAGCTGGGACTGCCATGGAGTGAAGGCGTGTGTGTTGTGCACAGCTCCGGGGCGGTGACTGCGCCTGTTACCTGCGGTTGGCAGCGTCTCTCGTGCATCACGTTGCTCCACTGTCTGTCGGGTTTAGAGTCTGGGGGGAGCACAGCTGCCATCCGGGTGCCTTCACAGGGCACCGAGCTGGGACTCCGCCCCGGCCCCTCCACCCGGTGGCCTGGCCCCCAGATGTCCTGCTGTCCCTGCAGGTGGCTCTGGACCTGTCCCAGCACAAAGGCGTGGCGGTGCGCAGGGTGCTGAACACAGAGGCCGAGGTGGTGAGAAAGTTTGGTGTCACCAACTTCCCCTCTTGCTATCTGCTGTTCCTGAACGGCTCTGTCTCCAGAGTGCCCGTGTGAGTATGCTGTCCCCTGGAGTCCCCTCTCCTCCCTCCCTGTGCTCATCCTTCCTGCTTGCCCAGAGGGGCTGCCCGCCTTTCACAGTGGCCAACACGTTCTTTCTGAGGGGACCCCAGCAGGAGAAGCTGGGGTCTGCTCTCCGCGGAGCCGGCACCTCCACAGTCAGGAGCCTGGGCCTGGAATGCCGTCCCTGCGCTGCAGCTCAGGGACCTGCCACAGCCCCCCACACCCAGTGTCGCCTCCATCCCCACTCTGTCCCCACCACTACCCTGGCCCTCTTCCCCACCCTCTCCTGTTTGCAGGCAGACTCATTGGCAGGCTGCAGGCCTGGCAAGGACTCAAATAGCCTGACCCTCCCTCCCTTTGATTTTCTAATTGCAGAAAAGTTCATTAGGAGCCAGACAATAGCCAGTTCCAAAATGCCGAGAGAAAACAATCAGGCAGCCTCAGCCCCTCTGCCAGGCTCCCGCTGCTGAATGGCCCCTTAATGGCACCAGATGGTGCCTTGGTGCCCTCCCTGGGCAGATGATTGATGTCAACCAGGCCCTGCAGGCAGGAGTGTGGGCCAGGGAGGCAAGGCTCGCCTGCGGTGCCTGGTGAGCTGCTCCTCGGGGCCCTCAGTGCCCACCCACACTGTGCTGGGCAGGGCGGCCACTCGCCTTCACCCTGGCCCAGATCACCTGCTAGGGGACCCAAGAGGCACGATGTCACCGAGGACAGGGAGGTGCTCGCTTTCCAGGCAGGCCCAGAAAGTGCCAGTGCTGATGGGGAGAGAGGCATTGTTTCCTCTCTCGGAGTTGGTGGAGGGGAAAATTGTTTGTGACGATGCTGCCTCCTGAGCCATCTGCTCACCAAGAAACCCCGGGCCAGGATGGTGGAGTGGAAAGAAGCCGTGCGTCCCCTGCCAGCTCCCCCGGGGCAGCCCTCTCGCTGCTGCTGGGCGCAGCGTCTCTCTCTGCAGGGGCCGCGGATGAGGGGGAGTATGTATGTGCTCAGGAGGTATCTCGTGCCCTGGAGGACTCCTCCCTGTCAGAAAAGAGAAATCAAAAGGACTGTACAAATATTTAGAGAATTCTGGAGGCCCTTTGTTGTTGTTACTCCCTGGACTTCCTGGGGGTGATGTCACTCATGGTACCTCGGGGCGAGCTTGCAGTTGGGCAGCTGCCATTTTCAACCTCGGGGTCCCCAGGAAGGGAGTCACATCCTGCCGTTCCTGTTTGTGGGTACTGGGCTGTCCCGCGCCTCTCCATGCCCTGCCCGGAGCCAGAGGGCCAGTGGGGGAATTCTTGGGCCCAGCTGCCTTACCAGATGAGCTGGTATCAAAGGGGCCTTTTGCAGCATGTGCCGTGACTAGAAAGGTTAAAGCGAGGCCTGGGCGCCTCTTCTGGCCTCCCAGAGGACAAGGCGGAATCTTGTTCAGATGTTTAATAAACCTTCTGTCTGATGAGCCACCTGCTTCCTCTTCCGACACTGATTAGCGCTGATCTTGTTCTCTGCATTCACTGCCTGTCCTCCTTGGTTCTGTGCCCTCACAGGCTCATGGAATCCAGGTCCTTCTATACCGCTTACCTGCAGAGGCTCTCTGGGCTCACCAGGGAGGCTCCCCAGACCACTGTCGCACCAACCACTGTGAACAAGATAGCCCCCACCGTTTGGAAATTCGCAGATCGGTAAGGCCACGGCTGGTTCTCCTCACGGCTCCCCCCTCCTCTGATCACAGACCACCACCCTTCCACACTCACGCCCTCTTGCTCATTCTTCTTCCTTGTCATATGCTTAGTGTGTACCATTCTGAGCCAAGGCTATCCCCACCCCAAGGGCTGGCCATGCTCAGGGGCCTTCAGTGTGTGGGACTGGCAGTTAGCTGCAGTCCCTCCAGTGTCTGCTACGGGGCCGGGCTGACTGTGGGGAGTGCTGGCTGGCACTGCCGGTTGTCCTTCAGGAGGAATGAACACCTTCTGTGCCCCTTCAGCTTAACTCTACTCACAAACGGGGAATCCATGTGGAAGAACACTCTCAGGCCTCCAGACCAACTTCCCACCCAAGCAGTTATTTCTGCAGTAAATATTTTTGAGTACTCACTACGTGAGATGTCCAGGCAGAGATGTCCAGGCAGATGCAGTCCCTGCATGTGCAGACCCCGCATGTGCAGACACCGTGGTCCCGTTTACGGCATCCCTTCTAGGAAGGCACTCAGCCTCACTTGAACACCTGTGGTGTCAGCAAGCGCACTGCCTTTTCATCTCACCTGTGTATGTGTCCACCATCGTAAGCATGAGAGAGCTGCTCCTCTCTGAGGCTCCTTGGCTCTTCTGTTGTGGTTGGGAGTGAGACAAAGCTGTAGACTCCCTGCACTGGCACCAGCTGCATACCAGGTGGAAATGTCTGACCAGGGAGCATAGAGCTGGCCTGGATGGTGGCCCTCACAAGGGGAATGCATGAAACAGTTGGGGGAAAGGTGACTCCAAGAAGGACTTTGCATCCTAGCATGAGGGACTTCAAGGGTGGAAAGTGCCAAATGGAGAAATGTTTAGTAGATCGGGGAGGGAGAAAGAATGAGAGGTGGTGTGATTATTATGGTCATTCCATCATGATGAATGATCATCGTAATGGTCGTGTGATCATTACGGTCATGCAAACCGCTGACGTTCTTGTAATAGCTCAGGCTGGTGTACATGCCTGGCTCTGCTGGGCGCCTTCCCTGTGTTACCGCATTCAGTCATGGGGCCACTTCTGGAGGCAGAGCACTGGAATGGAGGGGTAAACCAAGGCCCAAGGACACCAAAGTGGAGCACAGAGGAGACCTTGCCCTGAGGGGGAAGCACAGGCAGCCACAGTGCTCACCCTGTTAGTTGCCCATATGGGCTCTTTCCAACCTCAGGATGTAGCGGGGGCAGGAGCCATTCATGTATTTTACAGTTGAGGTGACTGAGGCCCAGGGAAGTCAATGGAGTTGCCCAAGCTCACAGAAACTAGCTCATGGTCAAACTGAGGCCAGAACCCAGGTCTCAAGAGACAAGGGAAGAGGCAGCCAACCTTCTCGGCCCCTGCCACCAGAACCCTGAGCCTAGACCCCAGCATGATGGGCCTGGGGTGGAGCAGCCAGTGTGGAGTCCCCGGCCCTTCCCTGAGGGCTACAGAGAGGTGTGAGATGGGCCCACCTGAGTGAGACATGAGTCTGGCAGCTGTGAGCATGTCAGCCCTGAAAGAAATACAAGCCCTGCTGCCCCTCCTGCCCCCACCCCCCATTTCCCAGCCTTGGTGGGCAGCTAAACCCTGGTCTTTCAGAGAAGGCCCAGTTTTCCTAGAGGCATGTCGTGTGTGTATGCACCTGCTGGTTTGATTGTGTCTGGGGGTCTTGGCTCAGAGCTGGCTTGATTAGTGAGTTGTGGGAGGGGCTGGCTCTGGGCCTGGAGAGAGAAAACTCCTCCTCTCTGCCAGGAGCTGCTGAGAGTTTTACATTTGTGCTTTTGTTTGATCCTCTCAGCAACTTACCCTTGAGCAATGTATTATTATTCACATCTTACAGATGAGGAATCCAGGCTCAGAGAGATTAAGTAATTTACCCAAGGTCACACAGCACATTTCTGGCCGAAGCAAGTGGTAATTTACAAGACTCTGTGACCATCAGCAGTGTCCCTCCTCTTCTCTCCCTTTAGCCCCGGGTGCTCCTCCCAGCCCCTGCCCCACAGTTAATACCCCTTTCTCTCTCTACCTCCCTCTGGGTCCTCAGCTCCAAGATCTACATGGCTGACCTGGAGTCTGCACTGCACTACATCCTGCGGATAGAAGTGGGCAGGTTCTCAGTCCTGGAAGGGCAGCGCCTGGTGGCCCTGAAAAAGTTTGTGGCAGTGCTGGCCAAGGTGAGCAGGGCCATGGGCGCCCTTGTCTGTGTAATTCCACGGATGGTCCGAGTGCGTTCCTGTAAGCTGGGCACCCCGTCAGCCTCTCCCTCCAGAAGTCCATGGTCTGGCTGGATACCTGGACCCGCAGCTCTCCCTGTCCACCATAGGTGCTGCCTTCCAGCCTCAGCCATACCCCATACCAGCCCCGCACTGCCAGGGACAGCCCTGCCCCATGCAGTGGGATGGGTGGGATACAGGGTGCCCCCCACCTGGGGATATTTCCAGCTGATTTGGTGACTGTGGCTCTGCCTGCCTGAGTCCTCAGTCAGAGCCCCAGTGTGGCTTCCCACCCCTTGCCATGGTCACTGGGAAACAGGACCCCTGGGCCACCCTGGCGAAGGAGACGATGCCATTCTGCTATTCCTTGCTTCCCGCCCAGTCTCACCCCGATCCCTGGCCCTGACCTTGCCTTCCTTCTTGATCATTTCCCCGGGAAGGTGGCTACTCTGTGAAGAGTAGCTCCTATTTACTGAGGACCTGATGTCTGTATAGGATTTCATCTTCTTACTACTCTGCGAGGTGGGTGGTTTATTTTGTCCATCCCCATTTAAGAGGCCCAGGGAGCTCAAGTGGGATGCCTTCGTTCTGCCAACCTGGAGGTGTTCTGCTCAGGCCTTGAGCCTGCGCTCCTTCCTCTCTGAAGGTGAGAGGTGGCTACCACTCCCTCTCTGTGCCCTTCCCTCTGGTTCCAGATCCTGGCCAGTGCAGCCCTGCTGGAAACCCGGGACTCTGCTGCTCAGTACTGCTGAGTCAGACGTGGCTCTGGGCGCTTCGGGGTTGGCTGCAGGCTCAGCCTCCCTTGGCCCTGGGGCCCGGATCTGAGCCCACCCTCCCCCGTGCAGTGCAGGCCTGCAGGAGGCTGGGCCTGCCCTCGGGTGATCCCTCCTTCCCACCTCCCTGTTCTGGCTCCTTGGTTTGGTCACATGCATGCGTGGTGACATTGAGAGAGCCTGATGGGAACGTTTCAGCCGAAGGCTGGACAGTTGCTGGCCCCTCACGGAAGTCCCACGCAGAATGAGCCCTTGTTCTTCAGTCCATTGCCATACTACAGACCTTTCCTCCAAGGCTGAGAGCTGCTTGGTCCTCACAGTACAGAGGCCTGGGGTCAACAGCCTAGAGATGCAGAGGGGACAAGTCCGGAACAGTCCCATGTACGGTCCATTGTCCTGACCCGTGAAGGAGATCCCCCAGCATGCTTTCCGGCATGCCTCAGACACCCCACCACCCTAGTCCAGTGCCCTCCAAAGGGGTCAGCCCAGAGAGATCGGCTTGTGTGCTGCTCGGAAATCTCAGCTGTGCGCAAACCTGCCATTTTCTTTGGCCCCAGTGGGGCTGTTTACAGTCAGTATGTGGGGAAAGAATGAGATCTGAGCTGGCAGAGTTACCCTGTCTGCGCCTGCTGAGCCTCTGCCTTCAGCAGGGACTGGGAATGGGCTTGAGAGGAAGGTGCCTGCCCTGCAGAGCCAGGGCTGTCAGAGAGGACAGGGCTGGCAGTGGCGGGGAGGACAGAAGGAAGCCGGGGGTGCCCAGCAGTCGCAGGAGAGGCACCTGGGGCATGGGCCTGGAGACCCTCTGTTTGGGTTTAGCCCGCACAGTCCCTGGGGGCTGCAGAGTATTCTGGTCCTCGCCTTGCCTCGGTAGCTTCTTCCTGAATAGGACTGTCAGGATCGGGTTTATCTCTAGCAGCTATCATTTCTTCAGCCCTGCCGGTGCCTGCAGCGTTCTTTGTCTATCAGCTCATAATTGTTTCTCAGAACAGACTCCACAGCACGGCTTCTAGTGTGAACTTCATATCACTGAAGATGAAACGAAGGCCCAGAGAACTAAAGCAGCTTGCCAGGGTTCTCCAGCTAGTGAGGGGCTGGGCATGGGACCACACCCACTCTCATCCAGCCCATGCCCATTATCACCAAGTGCATGGTGCTCGTGGGCCTGAGCGCCCAAGGGTGCAAGCGCACACTCTGCTGGCTCCCCCTGGCGAGCTGCCAGCCCTGCGGGTGCCCGGTCAGTGGGGAGGCCCTCTGCAAGTCCTGCCGGTGCTCCCCGACCTGCCTCTCCCAGCCCGTGCTCTCTCTCGTGAGCAGCTGGCAGGACCGGCCACTGGGTGGCGTATGGGCACCAGGGTTTCCTTGCTCCCGGTTGTCCAGAGCGCCTTAATTCATCCTTCCTCTGGCACCATCACCTTAGAGGGCGGAAGTTTCCGAGTCGGGATGATGGCGAAGGTCAGTGAGAAGTGCTGACTCTAAGCCGTAAATCTGTGTGTGAGTCCCAGAGGCCCGCGTGGGCTCGCCACGAGGGCACATGTCAAAGGGTGGTCTTTTCCGGCCACTTCTCGCCCTGGGGGAAGGTGTCCAGCCTGAGGTTTGATAGGAATATTTATTGGCTTTCTCAGAGGACTGGCTCTGTTAGCAAGCTTTCCTATTTCGTTACCATTCGTGTCTCTGGCATCCTTCTCCTCTCAAATGTCCATCTTTGCTTTCTTTGCTGCGAGTTTCTCAGGGTCCAAGTCCCCTCGGCTGGCCTCTGTGGTTTTATCCGACGAGCTCGCTGCTGCGCGCCTCTCTCCCCCGCCGTCCGCCCCGCGTGCTGTGCATGCGCACACACGTACCCACGCATACATCCTCCTCCCTGGAGTCCTGTGGTTTTCGAGTGCTGATACTAATCTGATTTGAGTTGACTTATTGTCAGAGTAGCTTTTCATGCTCCTCAGAGACCACTGGGAGTTACCATCAAGATCTGGATCTCGGCTGGGAGCCCCTGGCCTGGCTGGTCCTCACTGGCAGCCCACAGAATCCAAATGAAAGGTTTTGTGCCCACCTAGCCCAGCTGGCCAGTCAGTCGGCAAGTCACCTCTATCTGAGGACCACCCAAAGACAGGACCATGTGGCCCAGGGCTCCCAGCAGCCCTGGCAAGAGGCACAAGTGCTCCCACCTTCCTCCTAGTGGTGGTCGGGGTTGGGGGAGCTGCACAGGAGCTTGAGGTCTGAGAGAGAGACCCCCAGCACCCAGCCCCACTTGGAGCTAGTGCCTTCCCTACCCCATCCTCTAGCCTTACCGGGTGCCCCAGAGCAAAGGTAGTGCAGAAGTCACATCTGTGTCTCAGGTAGAATGTTTTCCTGGTGGTTTTGGAACTTTCCATGAAACTGCCCTGGCCAGCGTCTGCGTAGCTTCCTACCAATGCAGGACAAGGAACTTGGGAATTGCTTTTCACTCTCCAGCTTCCACTTGCTCCTCCCCACAGTACTTCCCGGGCCAGCCCTTAGTCCAGAATTTCCTGCACTCTGTGAATGAATGGCTCAAGAGGCAGAAGAGAAGGAAAATTCCTTACAGTTTCTTTAAAACTGCCCTGGACGACAGGAAAGAGGTGAGTCTGGGAAGCAAATGAACATCTCTCCATCCTCCATATTTATGAGAGTGCAAGGGGTTAACCCTGTGCTCTCCGACCTCCTTCACCAATTTGCACTCAGGGAGTCAGTGATCTTGGTTGGGTCCTTCCATTAATAATCAGTAAATTACTGTTGATTGAGCTTTCTATATGCACATCTCATTTAATCCTCATAATGTTAGTGGAAGGTAGATATTCTCCCCATTTAGCAGATGAAGAAACAGTGCTTAGAAGAGGTTCAGCAACTTGTCTGTAAGTAAGCAACTTACTTACAGCCAGTAAGCTTTGGGCTGGGATGAAAACTTGGTGAGACACCAGAGTTTTGAACAGCTGCCCTGTCTGCCTGTTGGCACGGGGTGCTGCTCAGCACGGCCTCCCTGGTCCTCTCCAGGCTCCTTCTGGGCTCCTGCTCATGCTGCTGTTTGCAAATGTGGGTCATTGCAGCCAGCCAAGGTGTAAAACCTTATAGATTTACAGGCTATCAAATTGCTAAGGGACCTCAGAGATAACTCCCTTGTTTTATAGTGGGGGAAGCTGAGGCCAGAACAGGATGCAACTTGATCTGTGTCACAGCTTTGTGTGTGTGTGTGTGTGTGTGTGTGTGTGTGTGTGTGTGTCACAGCTTTTCAGATCTGCTGCTGCTTCGGTGGGTGGAGCTGGTGGAAGGGAAATGCCACCTTCAAGGCGATAGACTGAGGGACCTCACGTGTCTTAGGGCTGTGTCTCCCACAAGCTTCCTTTGCCACCTCTCCTCCCATCCTTTTCCTTCTCCAGATGTGCACTCACACTCATGTGTGTCTCTTAGGGTGCTGTTCTTGCCAAGAAGGTGAACTGGATTGGCTGCCAGGGGAGTGAGCCACATTTCCGGGGCTTTCCCTGCTCCCTCTGGGTCCTCTTCCACTTCCTGACAGTGCAGGCAGCTCGGCAACCTGTAGACCACTCACAGGAAGCAGGTACGTCCAGGGCCCATTCACCCCACTGCGCCTCCAACCCTGCCCTGTTCGGCCCTGCAAGCGGGGAGGGAGCACGGCCGCTCCCTTGAATTGCCCCACTGGCTGCCAGCCCACAGAGGATGGGGAGAGTCAGCCTTGGGACTCCGGCAGGATCGATCGCTGTTTGTGCAGGTAGCCCCACCCGGCCAGAATGGAACCCATCCCAGGAGGGAGCAGACTTTGGGAATTCACCCAGTCCTCTCCCGGGCCCCTGAAGCTTTGGGGCTAAGGCCTCTCCCTGGCTTTCTTAGGGCTTATAGCTTGCTTTGCTTTCAGTTTTCATGGAAAATTTGTGATTCTATTTTTGAATACTCTTAATGAAGAAAAAATCATGTGTATTTCACAGTTTGCATAGCTGTACATGGCAGGCACTAGGAGTGATTTTATTGCACTTCCCACTGAGAAACAATTTCCTAGGGGAAGTTAGGGAAAGACATTTCCCTGCTGCCTTGTATCGCCCACAGACTGCACGGCGGAGAGAAGGAGGCGGGGGTGAAGAGAGGGCGTGCTCGATGCCGTTGGGAAGGGGCCCAAGGCCTCACGGGGTGGGCTGAGGGGTGACGGGTGGGTAGGATTGAGGAGCATCCCAGCAGAGGGGGCAGCCTGTGCAGAGACCTCGTGTATCAGAGGAACTGCCACTCAGTGTGGGAAGCCGGTGTGGATGGAGCATCTCTACCATGCCAGCTAGTGCTGCAGGTGCCAGGGACACAGCAGCACGTGGGACAGGTCCCTGCCCTCCCAAGGCCAGTATCTGAGTGGCAGGGGACAGACACCGAGAGATGGTTTCAGCCACGATGGCGAACGCTGTGAGGAAGACAAAGCAAAGCAGTGCCAGAGCGGGTGCTGTCCGGAGCGGGGACTAGGGGAGGCTTCCCTGTGGAGGGCCCCGTGCTGGGACCCATGCGGAGAGGAGGAGGCAGTGTGGGACATCTGGGAAGAGAGCCTCCCAGGCTGTATTAGTGTCCTCGGGCCGCGCTGACGACTGTGTAGGCTGGGGGCTCAGACAGTAGACATCTGTCGTCTCCGTTCTGCAGGCTGAAGTGCAAGGTGGAGGTGTCGGGGCTGGTGTCTCTGAGCCTCTCTCCTTGACTGGGAGCCGGTTGTCTTTGCCCTGTGTCTCCCAGCAGTTGTCCCTCTCCCTGTCCTTCCTGCAAGGACACAGTCCTGTCAGATTAGGGCTCACCCACCTGACCTCATTTTACCTTCATCACCTCTTCAAAGTCCCTGTCTCCAAAGATGGCCACATTCTGAGAGGCTGGGGATTAGGGCTTCAACATAGGAACCTGGGGGGACATAATTCGGTCCATAGCACAGGCCTGGGACCAGCAGGTGCAGAGGACAAGCCTGGTGTGTGGGCAGCAGCGAGAAGAGGGCGCTGTGGCCGGAGGGAGAGAGGTGAGGCCGCAGAGAGAGGCCGGGGGGCGGAGGTGGGCACTCGTGGGCTGGGAGGCCTTGGCGAGGGCAGGGTTTGGATGTTGGTGTTGGCATTTTGAGAAACCACCGGAGAGTCTAACAGGAGTGACACATGGTTTCTAGAGAGATTCTAGAAAGGTGGAGGGTGGGCTGTTGTGGGGCAGGGAGGGCAGGCCAGCCGAGGAGGAAGCTGCAGAGCTCGCCCAGCAGTGCTGGGGGGGACTGGGGTTGTCACTGCCCCTGGAGGAAGCGGTCAGATTTGGGGATATGTTAAAGGTGGAGCTGAGGGACTTAATGAGAGGTTGGAGGAAGGCTGTGTGGGAAGCAGGACTCGGGTGGACTCCAGGGTTGTGGGGCCTGAGCCCCGGCGGATGGTGGTCCCGTGAGCTGAGGAGTTGGGGGTGCAGGGTGGGAGGGTAGAATCAATGGTCTGCTTTGTGTCCATAGACCTCCCAATGGAGGTGTGCACGGTTAAGTCTGGAGCTCCAGGAGAGGTGCAGGATAGAGATCAGCTTTGTCATTGTTGGTAGCATCATAGCTCAAGCCATGGGACCAGATGAGCTCCCTGGTGGGGAGGTAGAGAAGAGTGCTGAGGACTGGGCCCTGGGGCATGCAGCATTAAACCACCAGCAAAGGAGGCTGAAAGGGACAGGCTGTGGCGATTTCAAGGGGGCCCCGGAGTGCAGTGTTTGAAGATGGAGGTGCAGTGTTCAGAGCCATGCCGCTGGAGGCGGCGCAGGATGAGGACATCTGGAGCAAGGCCGTGTCCGTGGCGTAGTGCAGGTGATGGCCTGGTTGAATTTGGCTGACGAGAGACCAGGAGGCAAGATGCTGGAGATAATACGCAGGAACTGGGGCATGACTGGGTTAGAGGGGATTTCTTCATGATCATCATTTTCCCCAGTTGGAATGATCCCTTATCAGGGGAGAAATGGAGGATGCAGTAAAGAAACATTAACGGAAGTGAGATCCTGGAGGAGGTGAGGAGTGGGGCGGCCCAGCAGCAGCGGAGACAGAGGCTGAGCACAGCCAGGGCCAGTGGTGAGGCCTGGTGGGTGGGAGGTCGTGCCTGCACAGGGTGCAGAAGACCAAGCCGAGAAGGCAGAGGAGAGAGAGAGAGAGAGGCAGGCATGGGCTGCTGTGGGTCTCACCTTGCCAGGAGCGACAGAGAGTAGGGTGCCAACATCCTGCTGCGTGGAGGGGTAAAAGCAGGAGATTGGCTGCTGAACCTGGGAGCTTTGCAGTAGAGAGAGGTTTGGAGGCCCCTGCCAGCAGTGCTGGAGCCCGGGCTGAAGGGCTTGGGGGGGTGCGTTTGGGGAGGAGTGGTGTCCTCAGCAGGGAGCCTGGTGTCAGTTAGAGCAGGAAAGTGGGGCTGGTTAACAGGCCTTTGCTGATGCCAGTCCAGAGGGCCCAGTGGGCCGGGGTGGAGGGACTGGACGGGGAGAGTGAGAGAGACGGAGGCAGATTGGGACGTGTAGCGAGCTGCAGGCCAAGGAAGGTGAGGTGTGGCGGGAGCAAGTGGGCGGGCGGCCTGAGTGGGCAGAGGGAGGGGCCTGCGGCTAGGGCGGTGGCCCTGTGGCCCCTGCTGACCTCTCCCACCGTGTCACAAAGAGACTGAGTGCCCCGCCAAAGAGTGTGGACTTTGTCCTGGGTGTGAGTGACAAGCGCCCAGTTGAGTGGCAGGGAAGGGCGTCTGGGTTTGGGAGTTTGGGGGGGATGGGGTCTCCTGTAAAGTGACCCTGGCAGGTGGAGAAGTAGGCAAGGGGTTACTGGGCCTCTCCTAACCTAGGCTGGAGTGCATGTGCAGGGGTGGCCGCAGCAGGGCGGGGGAAGCAGGGCCGCCTGGGGAGGCACCGGCAGTGGGGCTGGCAGCCTGAAGGGCTGGGGCATGGCGTCTCGTTTCCCCTGCAGCCAAGGCCCAGGAGGTCCTCCAAGCCATCCGAGGCTACGTGCGGTTCTTCTTTGGCTGCCGAGACTGCGCCGGCCACTTTGAGCAGATGGCTGCTGCCTCCATGGACCAGGTCGGGAGTCCTGACGCCGCTGTCCTCTGGCTCTGGTCTAGCCACAACAAGGTCAACGCTCGCCTCGCAGGTGAGGAGGGGGCAGCCGGAGTCACCTGTGGGGGATGAGGGGTGAGGATACTTTGGTGAAGGGACACTCATTGTCCCCTCAGTCACAGCCCAGCCCCGGTTTCGGGATGAGGAAACCAAGGCTTTGGCACTGTAAGACCCTGGTCTTCCCATGCCATTGCTGACTCTTTCCTGCTCTGGGCCCCTCTCTGGCCTACTGGGGTCCCTCTCCTGCCTCTTCTGCTCCGCCTCTGGCTGTTGGCCGCTTACTCAAACTGACAGGGCGGAGGGAGCTGGGGTTCCCCCTCCCTGGGAAGGGTCTGATGAGAGAAGGGGCTGGAGGAGACCAGGTCCTTCCTGGAAACACCAGGCACCGGTTCCCAAGAAGGGGCCCTGCCCTCCGCATTCCCTCATTTCCCTCATTGCGGTGCTTCCTTTTCCTCACGCGCAGGAGTCTGATGGCTCCAGGGCGCGGGGTGGGGAGGGAGCCATCTGTGGACAGGAGGCAGCCTGTGTGTGGGGAGGGAGTCTCGCAGGTGGCTGTGACAGCCTCCCAGGGGTGGGAGACAGGGCGGAGCCGAGGTTAAAGGAGCTGAACGGAGCAGGTGGTGGTGCAGGCGCCTGCACTTGGTCGTGGTCTCCTGGGGCCTCCTTGTGAACTTTGAAAGGAAGACACATGCCTGACTTCTCCTTTTCCCTCCCCAGCCCTGCTCCTCCCCTGCCACCAAATGCTCCATTTGACCCTTTAGCCCCTTGACCTAGGCAGGTTCCCAGCTGCCACTGGAGGGCCAGGAGCTGGGGCTTCTCCCTGAGGGGCCAGATGCAGAGCCCTCCCCTCCCCTCTCTGGTGGGGTCCTTTCAGAACAAACTGGTAATTAGCAGGAACAAGCTGAGAGCCCTCCGCCAGGCCTGACCACTGTCACTCATGGCTGGACCCGGGACTCTGCTTGTTGCCCCCTCCCCAAAATAACCATTCTGACTTGCATGCCACTTGCTGCTGCTCCTGCTTCCTTGCAGTCAACAACTCATCCCCCTATTAAATCCTTTAGGAGAGGTGCTTCTGCAGAAGGGATGAGCCGATGCATTCATTCCCTGGGCAACACTGGGTGAGGGGCTGGCGGCTGTGGCTCACCCTCTGGGACTCATCCAGAGGGTGCCGAGAGGGCTGGCCCCACCTGGGGTACCGACACCTGCAGCCCCAGCAGCATCCTGACTCTTCCAAGTGACCCCCGGTTCCCCCCCACCAGCCTACCCTTTGGAGCCCGCCCCTGCCCCAGAGGGCTGCTGCTGGGTAAAGGCGAGCACCTGGGGATTGCCATGAGCAGCTGACTCGCTTTAAAACACATTTTTTCCACTGGGCAAGGTGGCTCACACCTGTAATCCCAGCTCTCAGGGAGGCGAGGCAGAAGGATAGCTTGAGCCCAGGAGTTCAAGACCTGCCTGGGCAATATAACGAGACCCTGTTCTCCACAAAAAGGAAAAAAAAAAACCCCAAAAGACACACACACACACACAATTTTTTTTTTTTTTTTTTTTTTTTTTTTTTTGAGACGGAGTTTCACTCTTGTTACCCAGGCTGGAGTGCAATGGCGCGATCTCGGCTCACCGCAACCTCCGCCTCCTGGGTTCAGGCAATTCTCCTGCCTCAGCCTCCTGAGTAGCTGGGATTACAGGCACGCGCCACCATGCCCAGCTAATGTTTTTGTATTTTTAGTAGAGACGGGGTTTCACCATGTTGACCAGGATGGTCTCGATCTCTTGACCTCGTGATCCACCCGCCTCGGCCTCCCAAAGTGCTGGGATTACAGGCTTGAGCCACCGCGCCCGGCCTACACACACAATTTTTACCTTGAATTGACAGAGTGACATATCTACACAGTTCGTAATTTGGAAAATTTCAGAAAAATGCAAAAAAAGACAAACACAAGCAGACCAACCAGACTGCAAAACAGATCACAATTATTCTCGCCCTTTCCCATGTCTGCCTCCGGGGTGCAAACTCCGTAAAGTCCACAAAGCGGGACAGTGGATCTGGCCAACACTGGGGAGTGGCTGAGATGCCCGGCACTCTTCACGCTTCCCTGGGAAACCGCAGAGGGCTGGGGCTGAGGGGTAGGGCGGGTCCGCCGCCTCCTCCAGGCTGCCATCTGCTGAGCTCCCAGTGTGGGCTAGTGTTTGCGATCTGGATTTGGTCCTTTCCCCTCCTCTGGAAGGGCAGTGGCAAGCCCTTTTTACAGGCAAGGAAGCTGGCATTCTGAGTGGAAGAGTGTGGTCCGGGCTTTTGGGTGGGAACAGTGTCACCACCAACCCGTGTACGCTTCCCTCTGCAGGTGCCCCCAGCGAGGACCCACAGTTCCCCAAGGTGCAGTGGCCGCCGCGTGAACTGTGCTCTGCCTGCCACAATGAACGCCTGGATGTGCCCGTGTGGGACGTGGAAGCCACCCTCACCTTCCTCAAGGCCCACTTCTCCCCAAGCAACATTGTCCTGGGCCTCCCTGCAGTGGGCTCAGCCCCCCGGTGGGACGTACAGCGTGTGGCAGCCGCCCCAAAGCTGGCGATGGAAGGCCTGGCGCTGGAAAGCCGAAATTCAACCCTGGACCCTGAGAAGCCTGAGATGATGACTCAACCCCCTGCAAATACCACCCCAGATGTGCCAGCTGAGAGACCCGAGGCAAGTCACCCCCCAAAGCTGCACCCTGGCCTTGGAGCTGCACCAGGCCAGGAGCCTCCTGAGCACATGGCAGAGCTTCAGAGGAATGAGTGGGAGCAGCCACGTGGGCAGTGGCACTTGAACAAGCGAGACAAGGGGGCTGTGTTACTGGCCGAGTCCTGGGCTGAGAAGAACCGCCCCTGGGGCCCTTTGGAGGTCAGGCACGTGGGCCGCAGCTCCAGGCAGCTGGTCGACATCCCTGAGGGCCAGCTGGAGGCTCGAGCCAGGCAGGGCCGAGGCCAGTGGCTGCAGGTGCTGGGAGGGGGCTTCTCGCACCTGGACTTCAGCCTCTGTGTGGGGCTCTATTCCCTGTCCTTCATGGGCCTGCTGGCCATGTACACCTACTTCCGGGCCAAGATAAGGGCTCTGAAGGGCCATGCTGGCCACCCTGTAGCCTGAACCACCTGGGGAGGCAGCAGGGGAGGGAGCCGGCATCGGGAGCTCCTCCAGCCCCCGACCCCGTTCCCTCCCCTCCCACCCCTTGCTCCTTGACTGGCTTAGAAGTGTGGGATATTCAGGAAAACCAGTTGCTCCAGTGAAGCTTCTTAGGGCTGCTAGGACGGAGAGCTCCTTTGGCACAAAAGACAGGAGCAGGGTCCAGGTTCCCCTGCTGTGCGGAGAGGGCAGTCCCCGACAGCGACAGCGGGCGTGGGCGGTGCAGTCCCTGGTCCCTCAGCTCCACATTCCTGTTTTTCAGCTTATCTGAAGTCCTGCTTCTCACTGGAGCCTCAATCTCTCCTGCTTGGTCTTGGCCCTAAGTTGGGGCAAATGAAGCTAGAGGAGGGTCCCCTGAGCTGGGTGGGCTGGAATGGAACCCCTCATTGCCTGCTGGGGATCCGCCCACCCCGCTCCCTTCCGGACAATGAAGAAGCCTTGGCACCCTGGGAGGAAGGACCACCCCGGGCCAGCCTCCAGCTCCTCAGACCTCATGGGTGGGTTCTGGTTTCAGGGTGGGGTGTAGAAGCTTCTGGAAGTCGTGCTGGTCTCCCAGGTGAGGCAGGCCGTGGTTGCTGGGCGGTAGGGTGTGAGTGGCTTGCTTGGCGGGGCCCGCTCAGGTGGTGGCTTAGGAAGGAGGTGGGTCTCTAGTGCCTTGGCCCTGGCTTCGCTGCAGGAGGTGGCTGCTTTCGCTTCTCCCCATTGAGCTCTGCCCCCTCTGAGTCTGGTCTCTTGTCCTTTCTTGTTTTGGTCTCCGAGATAAATGCTCATCTTTGGAGGGTACTGGGTAGAAGTTGGGGAGCAGAGTGTCTTCTCTCTCCAGGTTTCGCCTTCCAGCGTGCAGAGGTTAGGTCTGGGGGAGGCAGTGCCGCACATGTGCTTGATTGCACACTACTCCCTGCTTGGGAGGCGTGTGGAATAAACTATTTTTGTTAAGGCAGGCATCGGTGTGTTCTTTAACTTACTGCTTGGAGACCTAGTGTCCAGGTCTGGACAGAATGCACAGAGACCAGCCCCACCAGCAGCCCCACTTGCAGCCAGACGCGGTTTCCCCAGCCCACGCAGCTCCTGGCCACAGATGCCCATAGAGCTCCCTGCACCCCAAACCCCACAGCGGCCTCATGCACTGGGACAGGCCTCTGGATGTGCGCCCTGCCACTGCCTGCCCCCACCCTCCCTGAGAACTCCTGCCTCGGCGCCCCAGGCTGACGAGGGAGCCGGTCTGCACCTGCCTACTTGTAGCTCCTCCTCCAGGAAGGAAGGGCTTGTCTGAGCTGCGGGGCTGGCCACTCGGTAGGGAGGAGTCAGCCAGGATTAGAGAGCCTGCCCTTAATCCGGCCTGCTGGGTTTTACAAGGATCAGAGCCGCTGATAATGAACCTCATTAAGGGGGAGCAGGAGCTTCAATCCGATTTGGGGTTTTCTCTTTGACATCTTCACTCTGCTCAGATGGCCTGGGTGCTGTGTGGAGCAGGTGGAATGCCAAGGCCGCTCCCGCTATGGGACAGCTGGGGCGGGGGAGGGACGGCAGTCTCCCTGAGTGTTTCCCGATCTCTTTAGCTGCAGTGCTTTGCTGGGCTCCTGGGGGGATCCCCTCTCTGTGCCCTGCTCCAGGCACCCAGTGGCTCCATCATCCTGGTTGGGCTCTGCACCTCACCACCTGCTCCCCTTGGGCTGGCCCTGGCTGGGGGCCTGTGGGACAGGCAGGAGTCCAAGGTCAGAAGGCAACCCCAGCCTGCAGGAGGGTGACAGACTCCCAGGGCCAGCAACCACTGTGCCCACTGGACCAAGGCCACTGAATACACCTGCCCCACAACCCCCCAGGGCTCCTCTCCCAATGCCAAGTGCAGGGGATTTCTGTGACCATATTTCTAAAGCCGAACTCAGTTACCTAGAATGAGGGCTGCATTGGAAACGCTGTCGCAGCAGCAGCCCGGGCTCCCCAGTGTGTGGCTCAGCCTCCAGGCCCCGGGAGTGCTGTGGACCTCCCACCTCACAGCTGCCTGTGGCAGCCGAACCTCGTTCGCCCAGCCCCAGCCCCTCTGGTTGATAAACGGGTGGGCCTCCTCGGCAGCGCGGCTGCCTTTCACCTTGATTTCCCCAGGGCTCTCAGCAGCATCGATAAACCAGCCTCGGCCACCAGCTGGGCCCTCCCCCACCCAGTCTGCCAGGCTGGGAGCTGGGGCTCGCTGAGTCTTCAGTGCCCTTCTGATGGCTTCTCTAGAGGCCCCCATGGCAAGAGAGGGTCCCCAGGGGAGCCCTGCAAAACAAAGGCTCCTTGTCTGGGGCAGGACAGAGAACCTCACCTCTGTCTGGCGTGTTACCTACTGGGAGCTCAGGAACAATTTCCTCAAGGAGACAGCGGCGTGGAGCTTTGAAAGACCAGTAGGTGTTAGCAAAAAAAAGGAAAATAAGGAGGGACAGTGGGTGGGGGGTTACGGGCAGAGGAGAAAGCATGTGCTAAGTCAGCAAACAAAAAGAATGAATTAAATTCTGAGAAAAACTTTAAAAAAGTGTTATTAAGAATTTCCGCAATGCTGCACTGGCTGGAAACTGAAGATAAAACAGATGTGGCCCTGCTGCTGTGGAGCTTCCATTCCAAGGACAGGTGTGCTGAGGGCTCTGAAGGAGAGAGGCCAAGCAGGGAGGGTGCTGGGGAGGCTTCTCCCAGACCTGAAGGATGGGAAGCCAGGGAGTGGGAGGGGCGGGGCTGAGGGTGGAGGGGCCACGGAGCTGGTGTGGAGGGACTGCAGCCCTGAGGGATGCTCCTTGCAGCATTCTTGGAGGTCCAAGAGGGGCCTTGGTATGGGGTGGGGGTGGGAGGAGCCCTGGCACAGTCTGTCCTCTGGGTGTGGGGGTAGAGGAGAGGGCTCCAGGGGACCCAGCCAGCCTTGACCCTGGAGGAAGGGCTCAGAGGGAGCCCTCAAATCTGGGCTCTGGGTCGGTGGGGGGTCAAGTCCAGCCCTGAAGAGAATGGACTCTGAAATCTGACATCTGGTTTGAGTCCAGCTTCCAGCACTCACTGGCTTTGTGACTTCGAGCAAGTTAACTTACTTCTCATTCCCTTGTCCCTATGTCATTGGAGATAAACTACCCACCTACCAGACTCTTGTCCCACGCTGGGTAAACAGTAAGTGCTTAATGGTAGCCCACTGCTCAGGTCGTGTCACCTCCTGTCTTAATACCCGAAAACTCAAGGGGCTCCATTGTGCTTAGGCGGTGCCATTCCCACAGGTATTCTGTGAAGGGTGTCTAAGTGGCAAGCCCCAAGCCACCCTGGCAGGTGCCACCATCCACAGCTGAACTGAGGTGTGGAGTGGAAAATGCCTCCCCACCCCCATGTGCCACAGTAGTTACGATCTCCCCCATGAGATGGGCTCCTAAAATGCCCGAACTGTGTATACTGTTGGAGTATTGATGTTTACAATTTATTGAACTTTGCGCTCATTTAAATCTCGTTTAATCCTCCAACAACACTAGATGAAGCAGCAGAGCCTTAAAGAGAGTGAGAAACATCCCATCCCCTCTACCCCCACCGAAATAAATACATTTGCCTTATTCTGCCAAATGGTGAGAGGTACATCTAGGACCTGACCCCAGATTCCACCCCGCTCAACCCCGGAGCTGCAATCTCTACACCTTCTAACACATATGGTTCTGCTTCGTGTCCTGTTCCACTGGAAGAATCACAGACTTTCCCGAGACTTTATGTGGTGCGCCGGGGGCCAGCCCTTCTTCCCTCCCATGGTGGCACTAGCCACCCTTTTCATCTTCCAGATTGTATATCTGGTGACTGCTGCCATGACTAGAAGGCCATATGGGGTGATTTCTGGAGGGTATCTGTTGTGTGTTGGTGGCAGGGAGCGGGGAAACCCTGAAAGAATCCACCTTTTCCAGAGCTCTCGCCCCATTCCCTGCATTGAGGCCGAAGTGCCGTCTGGGGTCCTTGTTTTTAGGCCTGGTTGTTGGAGGGGAGGAGACCGGGCTCCTGCTCCTGCCGCTAACCAGGCTGGGCATGACCCTGGCTCAGCTCATCTGTGAAAGGGGGGCCGCAGATTTAGCTTGCAGGTCCCTGCTAAGTTCTTCTCCCTCTTCCTGGGATTCCTATCCATGTATTGGCAGCCCCATGCAGAGCGGAGGGGAGAGGTTTTCCCTGCAGGGCCTTCCAGAGAAGGGATTCTTGGCCAAAGGAAATCACAGCCTATATGATCAGTGTCCTGATAGAATCCCGGGCCAGCTATGAAAGGGGAGAGCGCACACCAGCCTGACAGCCTTGGGGCAGAGTGTCCCATAGGCCTCCGCACCCCATCACTGCCTCATTCTCCCCCAGGTGCCAGGAAAGCTCCAGGGTGGACCCAGCATCCCTCCTCTTCCCCTTCAACACCCCTTTCACCCCTTCCCCCCTCCTCCTCTCCTCTGAAAGGAAAGGCTGCTTCTTGGGCAGGGCGATAGGATTCCCACCCCTAGCTTTAAGAACTAAACCAAACTCCAAGAAAAGCAATTGAATCTTCATACCCGACTCCTGGTCCCTTCTCAGGCCTGCTGTTGTGCAGGACAGAGCCCTGGCATTGGGTGTCACACCTAGCCACACCTGGCCTTGACCCTTGCTTTCCCTTTCTCTGCTGCCCTGGAGGATCATTCACACCCAAGAGGGCAAGCAGCTGCCCTCTCAGCCCTCCCTCTCCCACCCTGGGCCTCTGCCCTCTGCCTGGCCCCAGAAGCACAGTCCATAGACAGAGGCCAGACCATGGGGTCCCCAGTTACGGGGGTCTCGGTGACACAGTTCACTGTTTGCTACAAAGGAGGCCCCCTCTCACAGCCTTGGCCCCTGCCCTGCAGAAGAACTCCCCACAACTCACTTACCAATGGCCTTGGGCGCCAGTGGCCTCAGCGAGGGTCCGGTGGACTGCATGGCTGCCGTCTAAGTCTCTCTGGCGACCCTCACTGGCCCTGTCACTCCAGGTTTCACTGCTGCCCAGGGGCTTTGTGCCAGGCCTGGGTCACAGTGGAAGAGAGTTTGGAAGTCACAAGGCAGAGGAGGAGACCTCTGTCAGTGTGAGAGGACAAAGCGAAGGGACAGTCCATGGAGGCATTGACCTTAGTAGGTGAGGACTCAGGGAGCATCTCTCCACTCTAGGGCTAGGGTGAGAGCCACCTGATGGCGCTGGCAGCTCCAGCTGCTGCTTTGGTAAGACTTGGTCATCTTTTTACTGAGAGAGCAAAAGCTCTTTTCCCGGGGCTGCGCATTCTTCGGGAGGAAAGTGGGCCTCAGGTGCTGCCTGTTAACCCCCCTGTCTCCCCTGCTGCAATGGTTTGACGCCTTTCACCTGTGTCTGCCTGGGAGCCTCTGCCCACCACGGAAGAGCAGCTCGTATTTGGAAGGGGCTAAAAATCTTACCTAGTTTGAATCTGCTCTGCATTGTCCCCATCGAGTTCTTCACCATCCAGGTTCCAGTGGTCACAGAGTTCTGCTCTGGGGAGAAAGGAACTGCTTAGCAAATGACGTTGAGAATAGTGATTATTTGGGAGAAAATTCAGGTAAGATCCCACCTTCACACCATCAAATACATCTCAGTAGGTTAATAAGCTATGCCAAAAAATACGAGGGCAATATAATTGAATACTTCACTGTTTTTGAAAGCATGAAAACAATGGAAAATTCACCTAATGTGAGAAATCAATGTACTTGACATCACTTTTAAGAAGTAAGTCAAGGGCAAGCACAGTGGCTCACGCCTGTAATCCCGGCACTTTGGGAGGCTGAGGTAGGTGGATCATGAGGTTAGGAGTTTGAGACTAGCTTGGCCAACATGGTGAAACCCCATCTCTACTAAAAATATAAAAATTAGCCAGGTGTGGTGGCACACATCTCTAATCCCAGCTACTCAGGAGGCTGAAGCAGGAGAATCACTTGAACCTGGGAGGTGGAGGTTGCAGTGAG